AAAAAAAAAAAGAAGAAAGGCAAATCACATTTCTCCGTTAGTTTTTCTTCTCGATAATCATTTCGATAAATTGTAACTTATATTTGTTATTATATTTTGCCTCCGATAAATAGAAATCAAAATTAATTAATTCGTCATTTCATTTAATTTACAAACATATTAACATAAACGTATATTTATACGTGTGTATGTAATGTGCTTTTTGACAAAAAGATGTTAATGCTTTATAAATCATCCCTAGCGAAGTTTCATTATTTAATATAGACTTTTAATCATCTATTGCGAAGCCTAATAATTATTTTAACAGTTGGGATTGATCTCGTTGCAAAATACATATTCTTTATTCTCGGGGGAGGGGGGGGGGGAAACAAGGAAAGGTGAAAATCGCTTTATTCGCGCCTTATCCCTTTTTTATCCGAACATATCGTATATGTATGTATGTATCTTTAATTGCTCTCTCTGTATGCGCGCGCACGCGCGCGTTGTATATATGTGTATACATACATATATACATATATAGAAGTAGACCAATATAAATGGACATAAAAAGAAAAAGGGTACTATCACGTTCTCTGCTAACGTTTCATGAGAATAAATTAGTCCCTAGCCTTTTGCACTTTAACCCACATTTTTAGCCAACCGGACTTGTTAGAAAATGAGAACGCTACGTGCTTTTGCTCCTACAACAAACGACGAAAAGAAATGAAAAAAAGAAGTCCCTAGTTTTTTTTTCTTTTTTTTTTCTTTTTTTTTTTCATTTGTTTTTATTACAGTAACTCCATTCATTCCCAATGTTCTCATTTAGTTACTGACAAGGTTTGAGATCAGGGACCACCCACTGGTACCGAGTGAGCCCCAAGAGAATTGACGTTAAAAAAGAAAAAAAGAAATCATATCAAATTATTTTTTAACTTTTTTTTCAAGCTTTTGACCCCGTTTCATTCTTCGTTTCATTTATACGTTTTGTTTCGTTCGAGAAAACGATCCCTCACGCGTTCTCTCTGTCTGTCTGTCTGTCTGTCTATCTGTCCTTTTATTTAGTTTTTCGTTCATTCTTTTTTAACCTTTTTTTCTTCATTCACGAAAATACCAGAAACAAAAGTAAGTTGAGATCTAATATCGCAAGAGGCTCATTCGCTTGTGCATTTCACTCGAAAAGAAGAAAAAAAAAAAAGAAATAGTTCCGTCCATTTCCAAGGCAGTACCTTTTTCCATGACTTAAAAGTCTTCTAAGTACTTTACTCTCGCTACTTTCGTCTCCTTATCGTCGTTTGTTTCGAGTTAATATTCGTGGTCCATTCTTTTCCTGTCTCTCTCTCTCTCTCTCTCTCTCTCTCTCTCTCTCTCTCTTGCATTCTCTGCCTCTTCTTAAGAATGCAATCATTCCAAAACTCCTTCGCTAGGTTCCTAAAAGATTCGTAGAAGTGCAGCTGCAGTTCGTTAACGCGCGGAATGGTTATTAAAATTTTCATCGTTACTTTTCGGTAACGATTCCTGCGTCTCGTTAAGATTCATTTACGTTCATTGAGAAGAAAGAGAGATCAAGAAAAATGAAAAATATAAAATAAAAACAAATAAAGAGGGGAGGAAAAAAGAGCGTGAAAATGAAACAATTCAAATCAACAATTAATTTCTTCTTTTTGGAAAACAGAAAAAGGGAGAGAGAGAGAGAGAGAGAAAAGAAAAACTCAATTCAATGAATGAAATAATTATATGCTTTTTTTTATGGTAGATATTTGACGTGTGTATGTGACAGAGAGAAAGAATGTTCATTCGACCTCGTTGTTTTCGATTCGTAGCAGTAAATTCGTCGTAATCGTTCTCGCATTTCCGTAACAGTTGGACCGATTACCGAGCTTTTTCCCGTTTGTCAGCAAAGAGAGAGAGAGAGAGAGAGATAAAAGGCCGTATTATGTATATCACCGAGGTTCCATTACATTGTAACTTTTAACAATAGCTTCGTTTTTCGAAATTTCGTTTAAAACGAGAGAGTGAGAAAGGGAAAGGGAAAGAAAGGGACAGTAGTCAGTCATCAGTCAAACAAAAGTAATATTTTTGTATTTAGTAAAAAAAAAAAAAAAGAAAAAAAATAACAATATTTGAAATAAAAAAAAAATAAGTTAACGAGATAAATTATTTATTATTATTATTATTATAGATTAGAGTTTGAGATTGAGTTGCTGAAGAAGTCCCAATAAAGGGACGAAACGTCCAATTTAATCAAAACTAAGTTCTAGTTCTTTTTAATGTCCAATTTCCCTACGATACATATTTATTAATAATTTTATTTTTGGACGAGAGAAATAACTAATTGTGGATTATTATTTACTTCTCTTTAAAATAAATTTAAAGAAATATGACGTGTTGATTTTAATGAGCTATATTTCGAATTTCAGAATATTTCTTATTGTTAGAGAAAGAAATATGTGGAAAATAAATTATGGGAATGTGACTATGCTGATGCCACATGCTTTCTTTTGAAAGATGTTGTTGATCTTTCGATGGGAAGGAAAATGTTAATTTGACAATCTGGTACGATCCTTTGTACGCCATGCTCGTATTTCGATCCTCTCTCTCTCTCTCTCTCTCTCTCTCTCTCTCTCTCTCTCTCTCACCATATTTTTTTCCCTTTTTCTTTTTTTTGTCTTTCTTCTTTGTTAACTCACCTTCAACCTTGACAGATTTCTTTTTATCTGACTAAAAAAAGCTAGAAAGAAAAATCTTTAGAAAATGAAGCTCAAAGAGCAAATTTTTATTCCCTCCATTCATGTATGAAAATCTTTATTTATTTATTTATTTATTTCTATCTTTTGTTAATCAATAATATGAGAAAATATTTAATGCATATAATTATCTTCTGTATTTGATTTTATTCTTATTGTATTACGCACGAAGCGTAAACGGCTTACAGTAAAACATCCCTAATTTTGATTTCTATCAAAATATATATAACAATTCCTATTATTTCAGTATTGTGGAAGTATAAAAAGAGAGAGGGAAGGGCGAATAGTTAAAGTATTGGAATTTCTAGAACGATACATCTGTTTCTTTTCAAATTCTACATCAGGAAAGAAAAATATTTTAAATTCGAAGAAACAAGTTATGTATTTAAATAGAAATTTAATCGAAAAAAAAGATAGAAATCATCATAGATTTACATCGACATAAAAATCCCACATTTAACATAGAAAGGAATATAACATATCATTGATCATGCTACA